CCGCCGCAGCCGCCGCCGGCGCCGCCTACAGGAACACATACATGTCCTAGATCTAACTGGATAACTTCAGGTTTTGACGACGGAAATATAATTTAAGCGAAATTATATGAAAGAAGATGTTGCTGGCGACTTCGTCAGTGTAAAATTAAGAAAATAAAAAATACAGCAGATGTAAAATGTCACCTGTTTAGTAAATAATTTGCCTACCAATGTACAAAATGTTATTATCAATAGTATAAGACGAAGAGTATTCATAGTATAATTTAAAATTATGTATAGGAATAGAAAATAGATGTAAAATTTAATTTATAGACATTGTTCTTATTTGTCCAATCAAATTGATAATAAAATGAAAATCAAAGGACTGTGTAAGTCTAAGTTTGATTTTATTGTATGAAGGATATAAAGAATGGCGTACATAGTTCGTCTCTCCCTTCATCCATCACTGTTGTCTTTTAACCTACAATAGTTTATTTCCTTTTTCCTTATATTGATGGTATTGGTTATTCTGTTTTAGAACAACTTTTTTATTACATCATTACTTAAGACTAGAATTATAATGGAAAAGTTTAGTATTATAATGAATAGTTAAAATTTTTGGCAACTGGTAAAAAGATCGCAAGGATCACTCGTACAAAATATTTTCCGTCAAACAAAGAAATGTTATTTAATGTGTTTTAACATATTTGTATATATTGGTGTATTTTTAGAATTTGTGTTTTTTATATTAAATACTATAAAAATCCTTTTGTCTTTTTTACATACAAAACACGTTTAATATTCATGATCAAAGATGGCGCTATAGAAAGTACTAACGTTGTTTTGCATTTGCTTCCGTTCACAAATTATCGAATCACGTAACGTAACTAATAATCGTTATGATTTTTTTGCCTAGTTACCAATATGCATGTATACAAAACTGTTAATAAAAAATTTCCCGATAATAACAACACAAACTGAACTGTAGATTTAAATTTTCTAATCTATTTCAGCAACGAAACCAAATTTTATTTTTTTAATAGATTAAAGATTCATCTTTCGGTGAAACACGTAAAATGAACTACTCAAATAAATATATGCCAAAATACCGTTTTACTGCCATCTATTATGAAGTAGCAGAAGCAACATTAAAAAATGACTTCTGACCGCGACATGCGCAAATATGTTATTTATCGTTACCAAAAGATGGCGCTAAAAGAATTTAATGCAAAACACCTTTTAATCCCGTCAACGTCTTTCAAAAGAAACTTTGTAATGATCTGTTAACTATTTGTTATTGGTCGTCGATGGAGGACAAATAATCTATGGCAATTAAAATTATTATTATAATTAAATGTATTTCACAACAATGTGCAATATTTATGTAGCGGTTAGTTGTCGTATCAAAAGCATAGTTTTTTGTTTTTCGCGTTTTCACAACTTGAATTGTGTAAGTTTTTTTATAGGAAACTAACACGTCAAACGTCATGGATCCGCTGTTGGTCAAAATTATTCGAGAAACTTAACAATAATTATATATTTTATGCTTCAAACAATGTGTTGTTCTCAGTTTCAGAGAATAGGCTTGTGATAATTAATTCACGCTCCGAAGACGTTTCCCATCAGCGCTCTGCGGAAACACCAAATTAATTATGTATCGTGACGACAAACAACAAACACATTGCTTTAACTTTAGTGACTAGTGTAAGTAATCATTACTCGCGTTGTGAAGCAAACAATCACATACTGTATATTCATAACTAAGTCTCTCTGTTGATTGTTTTATTACAATAATTCGATTAATTGGATCAGAAATCAAAGGAAATAAAATGCATTAATATATTTCAACACTTTATTGTAAATTCATATGAAATTGTCGTCGTCGAAGTTGATCTCTCTGAGTTTCCAGTGGAAGTCGCGCGTTACGGCGTCGAGCCAGGCGCTGATGTCGGGCGCGGCCACCAAGTTGACGAAGCTGGCGCCACCGTCGCCGCCCGCGCCGCACCCCGCCGCGCGCCACGACGACACCACGCCCCACAGCACGCCGCGCAGCACCACCGGCGCACCAGCGTCGCGCTGCACATACACACAACTCTTACTTCATACTAATATTAAGAATGCGAAAGTTTAGATAGATGTTTGTTAGAGGTTGTAGCCTAAACGGCTTAACGGATTTCGATGAAACTTGGTATAAATGTAGAGGATAATCTGGAAGAACACATAGACACACTTTTTTTTTAATTCTACGCGGTTAGAGTCGCGGGCGATAGCCAGTCAGCGCTACTCGTTTCTTAGCTTGTGATACCGAAGCTTAAGGTTATCTTTTATAGGTTTTTAGGTTATCTTTTTAATTTTTAGCAATGACTGTGATTAACTTTAAACTAATTGCTCTTGCACCTTGACTAATAGCTTTGTCATACAGGATGTAAGATAACTATTGCACTCACCCGGCAGGGATCGGTGTCAGCGAGTGGGTCGAGGCAGAGCAGGCCTGAGCTAGCGTTGAACCCGAGCTCGATCTGCTCCCGCTGGCAGTC